AACCTACAATTACAATAGCTGTTACCAAATGTTACTGGATGTTGTCTGTTTACTCCAAATCCAGTAAAAGAGAGCGAGTAAAAACGTCTTACTCTTTGAAATAGAGCTACTGAAATAGTAAACAGACACTAATATTAAAAAAAATCCGCTTATATCCGCGAAAGTGCCTCAGCTGATATTAGTGAAAAATTAGGCTTATGCATCCAAAGAGCCCACCCCAAAAATATAAATCAACTCCTAGAAAATATCCTCTCCTGCAGCTTAGAGTAACCATCGAAAACAATTCCTCAAAAAATCTTAAAATGATTAAAAAGTTCCAAAAGTCATGTGCCTAATGTACATCATCCATACATACACATGTATGTATGTATGTATGTATCTTCGTGCTAAGCTATCTGATTGCTAAACGAGCAAAGAGAAGATCTATCATTAAAAATCTATTCAATATCTGAAAAAAAAGAAAAACTGATATTGAAAAAGAAAACAACAACAATAACGAAAAAAGAACAACGTGAAATTGTTTTCCTCTTGATCACCACACTGAGAGTGTTTTTCAATTTCAGTGTTGTTGTTGTTCTAGCACGAATTTTCACAAAAGAAAACGACACAAGAAAATATTGTTAAGAAAAACAAGAAAATCTTGGTGGCGAATAGTCTGATTGTGATTGTCAAGCCCAGCGGTTGTTTCTTTGGGAAGATCAACGAATTTAAAAAAATATTTATAAAGTAAATACAAGAAAACATAAAAAATATATAGAAATAAAATTAAGTCGAAAAAAACATAAGTTATATGACGCGTGATATATAAAAATATTAAAACCACAAAAAATTAAAAGGTGTGTTTTGGGCATTAAGGAATATTTATTACAAAGAAAAGTTTATAAAAAAATACATCTTGAAAATATTTGAATAAAAAAATGAAAGAACACCCCCTCAAACATCTGTAACATCGTGTTGACAAGAATGATTTTTTTTCAATATTGTCATTATATAATAAACAGGAAAAAACATGACTATCTTAAGTGACTGGCCAATGTCACTTTATTGTAATCGAAAAAAAAATACACAGAAACGAACAAAAAGGAAATAAATTTATATCACCTTCATATATCAAAAAATTACTTCCTTATATTTAAAAAAGAAACAATGTTTGAATTTGAGAAAGAATAATGAAAAACAGAAGTGGTTTTTATAAAAAAATATTTTAATAATTGTTTTTGTTGTTAAGAAAGAAATTATGTGCATTGACCTCCTTAATTTTTCAGTAACAAATAAATTTGAATAAATTTGATTTTATTTAAAAATTAAATTAAAATATAAAACAATTAAAAAATAAAATATTAAAGTTTTGAAAACTTAAAAAACAATATTAATTAAATAAATAATTACATTCAGTGAAAATGTGCTCAATGTGAAGGTTTGCTAAAAAATCTCCACTTTTCCAATGGAAACTCCAGTTTGCATTTGATAAAGACTTGTATTGTCTGGAACCACTATATATAACAGACGTCGTATTAACGTAAAATGATATATAAAAAATATATTCCATGAACTTTAAAAATACGACTATATAAAAAATGTAATCGAAAAAATAAATTTGAAAAAAATCTGTATTATCTCTGTGTTAAGCCCTCAACTTTTCAGTTTCTGTATATTTTTGTTACTTCTCCTCAAAGGAAGGCCATCAACAGAACGAACTTTTAAAAAAAGAACAAAAAAAAAAAAAAAAAATACTACGACGAAACTAAGAAAAGTGTCATCGAAAAAAACGAATTCAAAACTATTCTGAATGGCGTAAGGTGGTTTTTTCTCCCTCACACGAACACACACAATTGATCTCTTTAGCGATGCACTCTCTCTCATTTTCTCTTTTGTTATTTTTATTTTTAATTTTTTTTATTTATTTAGAACACAAAATACATGTTTTCTTGTTAAGAATTTTTCTTATTTGTTTATATCCCGAAAAAACATGAAAATTGTTGATGATCGCTTGTGTACTTTCTCTCTCTCTCTCTGTATGTGTTTGGTGGAAGAGTCCAAATATTTTTGAGATTTAAAATTTTGTTTAAATATAGCATTCAGTATTTAGAATAGAACATTTTTTTATTGGCACTATTTAACCACCTCCATAATTTAACAGAGTGCTGCAAAAAAAATGTATTCCTATAAAATATATATATTAAAAAAAAACATTAAAAATATTTATTTTTAAAAAATAACATATTCCAAAAAATACACATTTAAGAAAATGCATCCTAAAATTTTTTAAAAAAATGTTTATTCTTAAAATATATATGTTTGAGACATTAATTTCTAAAATAAATTATTATTTTTTTAAATCTAATATTAAAAAATTAAAAACAATTAAAAAAATTAAAAATCCATTAAAACACCAGTAAGGAAAGTCGGACTGGGCCTTCACCACTTTGAGTATATTCTACATAGTCTCCTAACAGACGTCGCCTTTTCGAAATACGATATTCACGAAACTTAACACACATTTTTCTAGACTTTATTCAGTGCGCTACACCAAATTTCGTGCAAATCGAAATTCACACAGGGACTTTGGTGCACCATTTACATTAAATCGATCGAAAATATATATGGGGGCTATATCTAAATCTGAACCGATTTTCACGAAACTTAGCACACATCATTATATACTATATTTAGTACGCTATGCCAAATTTCGTGCAAATCGAAAGATATATAGAGACTTTGGTTCACTACTTACCTTAAATCGGACGAAAATATATATGGGAGCTATATCCAAATCTGAACCGATATTCACGAAATTTAACACACATCCTTTTAGACTTAATTCAGTACGCTATGCCAAATTTCGTGAAAATCTAAAGATATGTAGGGACATTTTTGTACATTAAATCCGACGAAAATATATATGGGAGCTATATCTAAATCTGAACCGATTTTCACGAAACTTAGCACACATCAATCTAGACCTAAATTATTAGGCTGTGCCAAAAAAACCTAAAAATGTTTAAAAGGATTTTCAAAAAACATTTTTTAAAAATCCACTCCTAAAGCTTCGACAGCTCTCCAAAAATGTATTAAAAAAATCTACAACTAGAGTTTTGTTAGTGATCCAAAAGGGTATTAAAAAAATTCACGACTACAGCTTCGACAGTCTTCCAAAATTTTTATAAAAATCCACGCCTAAGTTTCAACAGTCCTCCAAAAAATATTTTTAAAAATCGTACGCCTATAGTCCTTCAAACAATATTTTTAAAAAAATCATGACTATAATTCTCTACAAAAAATATAAATTTTTTAAATTCACGCCCGTTATAGTCCTCCAATTTTTTTTTTCTTTTAAATCCACGTCTGCGACTTTCTCCAAAAGTATTTTTTTAAATACAGGCCTGTGAAAGTCCTCCGAAAAATATTTTTGGAATTTAAATTTTTTTGTTTTTAATCCAGGCTAAAAAGTACACATATTTGATAGCCTCTCAAAAAGTTTTTTTTAATTCAAGGATGTGATAGTCCTCCAAAAAATATTTTTTTAAATCCACGCCTTCAATTCAGTTTTTTCTTTAATCCACGTTTATTTATTTTAAAATCCACGCCTTCAATTTTGTTTTTTTTTTTAATCCACGTTTGTTTATTTTAAAATCCACGCCTTCAATTTTTGTTTTTTTTTTTTAATCCACGCCTGTGATAGCTTCCCATTTTTTTTAATCCACGCCTGTGAAAGGCTTTTTTATATCCACTAATGTGATAGTCTCCCAATTATTTATCCACGCCTGTGATAGTCTCCCAAGAAGTATTTTTAAGAAATCCACGCCTGTGATAGTCTCTCAAGAAGTATTTTAAAAAAATCCACCCTGTGATAGTATCCCAAGAAGTATTTTTAAAAAATCCATGCCTGCGATAGTCCCCCATTTTTTTTTTTTTTTTTTTTGAATCCATGCCTATGTTATTCTTAAAAAAATTGAAATCCACGCCTGTGATATTCTTAAAAAAAAAAAATAAAAATCCACGCCTGTGATAGTCTCCAAAAAATATTAAAAAAAAATCCGTTTACAAATTTGTTAATACCGAAAAAGAAGCGGAGCTTTTGTGTGGGGTTATATTAGGTTGGGAAAACATCCATTATTTTTATATGAACTATAGGACTTTATTTAACATGCTTCGTCCGATTTGGACAAATAAACACCGTTTCGTTGTATGATTTGGTGCTATTTTAAAGGAAACTTTATTGATTTTATCCGATTTTATGGGCATTTCCGACGACCGGCCTACATGGGTCCAATATTGATCATTTTTGGTAAGAATATAGATATATCATATTTTTAATACCAAATATTTCGATATGTGTTGCAAACAGAATGACAAAGCTAATATAAACTCCATCTTATCATGGATGGTATAAAAATCACTCTTATGGGCCTGTTCATACCCCCTAAAATACTCTTAAAAATCTAAAATTCAAAAATTAGTGAATTAACAAAACGACCCTTAATCTGATGTACTTTACAGATTTCAAACAAGTTTTTTTTAAATTCTCATTCCTTAAAAAAATATTCCACCCAACATAATCCCATTTTCCCGATTTACCCCGTAGTCCAGTGTACTCGTCATCACTACATGTAGCCACATTGGCGCACATCACTGTTAGGGGGAGCTGGGAGATACATTTTCTTTAATGCTTTTTCACTTTGAAGAGTAACATAAGAGATAAGTGCCCCATTAATACGAACGCGTACACACACATCCTCACAACGATAAAAATTCAAAATAAAACCACCTACGCGAAGTTTTGAAATCTTTTTATGGTGATTTTTTTCTTGTTCTTTTATTATTCAAATATTTTCAAAAAGTGTAAAAATTGTTTTTTTTGTCTGAAAATAATTAAAATAACAAACACCTAGAATTAAAAGAAAACAATTATTTTTCATATTGACACAATTTAAATAAAAAATATTGTTTTTTTTTCAAGTTGGTAAAAATATAAAAAAGCGTTTCCAAACCAAAAAATATGTCTCTGATGGAAAAACCAAATCGACCACAACGCAATCGTCGTCACAGTAGGTGGGTCACGAGACATCTTTTATACAATCATGTTCTTTTTTGTTGTTGCTATTTTTTGAAAAAGAAAATAGTTTTGTGTTTTTGTTTTTGCTGTATTTGAAATTTTCATTTGTTGTTGTTGATTTTGATTTTGCTTTTCTTTTTTTACAAAGTCGTGGGGTCAGTTACGGAAAGTGTGAAAGAGGAATAAACACCCAGTTTGTCTTTCTGTATCTGACTCCCGATTTTTTATTTATTTTGGTTTTTATTGAAAAAAATATTTCTTTTTTATTTTTATTAAAATTTTTGCAATATTTTTTGCCTGCTCTTTAACCCCTGTGAAACAGCCATTTAATAATAGCCACTAGACATCATACAACATCTAGTATGTTGTATTAGTCATTCTCTAATATGCCAGAATCAAAATTACCTCGCATCTAATCTGTTTTTGCATTTTTGTTTTTCGTTTCTAACCTCATTTTTTATTCAAACACCAAATTTTAATTCCAATTCTCAACTCCTTTTTCCAGACGTGCCTGGCCACCAGAAGATGATTTACATTATCCACGAGCAGCCAAACGCCTTTTCACTCCCGAAATCAAGCGAATGCTAAAAGAATGGCTGGTGCGAAGACGTGAAAATCCCTATCCCAGTAGGGAGGAGAAAAAACGCCTTGCCATAGATACAGGGCTGACATATACCCAAATTTGTAATTGGTTTGCCAATTGGCGTCGTAAATTGAAAAATGCCGAAAGAGAAAAGTCAAAGAAGTCCTGGGGTCATCTTATCAAAAACTACAATACCAATGCCAAGGGTAATGTCGAACAATTTAGTATATCATCGGAGGATAGCATATGGGAAGAGGAGGAACAACAATATCGACGTCACCAGCATAGTGATAACGACTATGAGGATGATGATGACTTAGATTCAATGTGTGATCTAGATGGTTCAAGTGGTAGTGGTTCGACAGATACCACAACAACGGAACGTAATGACAACGGTAGCGGATGCAGTACAATAAGCAGTAGCATTGGCCAAAGTGATTATCACTCAATGGATATGCATCAAAATAGGAATGGCTATACCACTCTGACTTTACACAATGATCCTAGTGATTTGTTTATAGGACGTGAGGTAGATGTGCTCACGACAAATGCCACCTGTCAAATAACACAGAGTGCTGCAAGTGCGGGTACTAAAACCAAATACAAACAGAAAATGATGGAAAAATATTTAAGAGATACTTATGATACAACGACACCACCGACCATCTCACCCACCACCACAATGGTACATATTGATTATAGTGGACAGCCAGTAACATCGGATAGTGGGCAACATGCCACCGCCACAGTATATTGTAATGCTACGAATACAACAATTATTAAATCGGGAGCAGAGTTATCCAAATGGTTGGAAAGTGCTGCGAAATTTACACCAAATAAAAATAACTATTTCATTGAGTGGAATAGTAAAAGGTAAGCATGAAAAATACTTTTTTTATATGGGAACAACTGGTCCAGATTTAGATATAGCTCCCATGTAAATTTTCGTCGGATTTTATGTAAATGGTGTACCAAAGCCCCTCTATAACTTTCAATTTGCATGAAATATGGCACAGCGTACTGAATTAAGTCTAAAATGATGTGTGTTAAATTTCGTGAAAATTGGTTCAGTTTTAGATATAGCTCCCATATATATTATCGTCCGATTTAGTGTAAATGGTGCAAAATGTTCCTATATATCTTTCGATTAGCATGAAATTTGCTACACCGTATTAAATTGAGCCTAGAATGATGTGTGTTAAATTTCTTAAAAATCGGTTCAGATTTAGATATAGCTCGCATATATATTTTCGTCCGATTCAATGTAAATTGTGCACCAAAGTCCCTATATATCTTTCGATTTATAAGAAATATGTCATAGTGTACTTAATTAAGTCTAGAATGGTGTTTGTTAAATTTCGTGAAAATCGGTTCAGATTCAGATAAAGCTCCCGTATATATTTTCGTCCGATTCAAAGTAAATCGTGCACCAAAGTCTCTGTATATCTCTCGATTCGCATGAAGTTTGGCATAGCGTACTGAATTAAGTCTAAAATGATGTGTGTTAAATTTCGTGAATATCGGCTCAGCATTAGATATAGCTCCCATATATATTATCGTCCGATTTAATGTAAATGGTGCACCAAAGTCTCTATATATCTTTCGATTCGCATGAAGTTTGCCATAGCGTAGTGAATGGAGCCTAGAATGATGTGTATTAAGTTTCGTGAAAATCGGTTCAGATTTATATATAGCTCCGATATATTTTCGTCGGATTTACAGTAAGTGGTGTACCAAGTCCCTGTAAATCTTTCGATTCGAATGAGATTTGGCATAGCGTACTGAATTAAGTCTAGAATGATGTGTGTTAAATTTCGTGAAAATCGGTTCAGTTTTAGATATAGCTCCCATGTACATTTTCGTCGGATTTAATGTAAATGGTGCACCAGTGTCCCTATATATCTTTCGATTTGCAAGAAATTTGTTATAGCGTATTTAATTGAGATTATAATGATGTGTGTTAAATTTCGTGAAAATCGGTTTAGATTTTGATAAAGCTCCCATGTATATTTTCGTCGGATTTAATGTAAATGGTTCAAAAATGTTCCTATATATCTTTCGATTTGCACGAAATTTGACATAGGGTACTGAATTAAGTCTAGAATGATGTGTGCAAAGTTTCGTAAAAATCGGTTCAGATTTAGCTTCCATATATATTTTCTTCAGATTCCATATATATCTCGGACGGGTGTCCCATTGAGATTTAATTTTGAATAGTCCAGTATACCGAATAGCGTGTATAACATTACGTTTTTTCTTACCAATTAAAAGTTGCTAATTTTTATGTTTCTTATATTTTTCAGAAACAAAAACGATAAGAAACCCATATTGGTGACAACAACGACAACAAAATCATTTCCATCGCCATCATCATCATCGGCAACTACAAATGGTGGTGGTGGCTGTGATCAGCAACAACAGACTTCGGTAACCCTTGTACCAATCATATATTCCAATACATCGGCCACAGTACAAATAACAAATTCAACAACCACTCCAAATACGCAGGCGCATCACCATCTACCAGACAACGACCATACGGATCATATCTATAATTCCATTCATCATAAAGATGAATTGGATGCCGCTGAGGCCCTGGCTAATTTGGCGTTTAATTGTCGCCAGCGGATGATGGATGCAAATGTTAAAGCGGGCTGTGGTAATACATTTCAACGGCCCCTAAATGCAATAAGTTCCTAAATTTGTTCAAATTAAAAAATTCTCTCTCACACACACACCCACATACAAAAGCATTTAGACCTTAGATGAATTGAAAAAAGCAGCGAAACCAAAGTACTTGTTACAATTATTAAAAAAGGAAAACAAACTACTTCGATTACAAGACAAAAGCATTCCAGCACTGTGGTTTCTTTTTTTGAATAAAGTGCGGAAGACATACTTACTACATACATACTTATACAAAATCTAACAAAAACTATTATTATACTATTTTAATTGTTGAATAAATTTTTAAGAACAAATGTTTAAATATAATATATATAGATATATACATTTTTTGATTGCATTAGAAAAAATATTTGAGTTTTGATTGGTCTTAAAATATTTCACCGGAAATCGAGATTTTTACCGATGTTTGTGAAATGTACAAAGAAGCTAACGCTATTTTGACATTTGATCATAATAAATAGGTAGAGATGGTATTTACCGGGTAAATACCCAAGCGGTGGGTAAATGCCCATTTGCGGGTATTTATTTTGACCGCCTATGTCAAGTGGTCCGGCAGTTAATGAGTTTATACCCAATTTTTGGGTAAATACTCCATACCTTTGTATGGAGGCTACCAGTAAACGTAGACCTACATACATACATTTTTGCATTGACATTTGGTACCCAAAGAGAACACTCTGTGCCAAATTACAGCCACCGTAAAATGTGTCTAATAGACATCGATTTGATACCAGCCCATCAGCCCATCCCTATTAAGTTCTTGCAGGAGTACAATCATATTAGACCTGTCGTACGTTCCTCTACGATCTAGGATGGTGCCGAGGTATTTGGCTTCCAAAGAGAGTCCTAGACCTACTCCATCTATTGTTGGTAGAGAGAACGTTGGAATTTTACGCTTTTTAGTGAATAGTAACAATTATTTCTTAGTGTGATTGACTCCAAAACCATTTCATCGCGCCCACCCTGACAAGCGTACCAGTGCACACTGCGTAATGTCTAATATCCTTGGTAATAATTTTTCCCTAATCACAACTACAACATCATAATACCACGACAGAGGAAATACGAACTGAAACGACCCGAGTCGTATTCGGTGAACGTCTGTCACCTCAGCCCATTGTGTAAAAGCAATAGGTCTGCTACAACAACAACATCATCGGCATAAGCCACTACTTTCGTTCACCATTGGTCAAAGTTAACAAGAATCTCGATTATACTAGAAGCCAAAAAATGGCGATTGCCCCCCGTTTTGTGAAGTTCCTCTGTTGATTAACCACTTCATCCTCCTTGATTATACGACTTTTCAGTATAACATCAATCCAATCCACCAGGGTTGATGAGAGAGAAGAGAGCTAATATCATAAATTCCAAATTTACGTTGTTGAAAGCTCCGTTTATGTCGAGAAAAGACGTCAGCGTGACGTTTGTACTTCTCTCAATATGCTCAATATGTAGGTATGCTGGGATTTGCTGATCTTATTTTTATTAAGTCCAGTAATGTCCTGATTTCAAGATCTAATAAACTTTCCATTGTTTAAAAAAATAAATAAAGACTAATCGGTCTATAGTCTTTCAGTAAAGTGTGACTACGGTTCCCTGCCTTGGGAATGAAGGTCACCTTTATTTCTCTTCACAACCTTAGACAGGCCCCGAAAAAAACTCCCTAAATTTTATTAAAACCTGTTCTGATGCAATCTGCATCGTTGCAGGTATTATACCATCTGGACCAGGAGATTTTTAAGATGGAAAGTGTTAATTGTCCATACCAGTTTTGGATACCTTGTATGGTCTTATATCAGAGATTAATTTGACATGGACAGAGGTTGAATATGATGCAGCAATTTCTGATCCATACCCAAGTCTCTGCTCCCAGGAAAATTAGTATCCGATAGAATATCCAGAGTCCCTAACCCACAATTGGTCCATGTGTCAACCTTTCTTTTAATACTACCGATGGATTTTGTATCTTCGATAATATTTTCATTAACTCCCTTTATCGACTCACTAATGCGTATCCAAGACTCTCGCTGACTTTCTTAATTTCACATTTGTAATTATTGAAAAACTCCCTATAAGTGCCCAAAACTGTTCTATGTTTATATTTATTTGATTTGTTGTACCGAATATTGGAGATAACGTTGTATGGGGGATATTCAAGGTTAGGTAAGGTCTGGGGATGTGCAGTCACTAATGTGGCTGCAGCACTCTGAGACCATCCGGTCCATTGTGATCATCCATGAAAAGTATGGAGAGATCTGTAGGGGAGAAAGGATAAGAAGCTAACAAGAAGTTTTAGGAGGAAGGTGGAATAGTTTCGATGGCTATAGAAATTGGACAGAAAACATATTACGTGCTAAGTTTGCACTTTCCCGACCATTTTAGGTTGCTAATGATGCTGTAGATTAAAGCAGGTTCCATAGTTGAAAAGAAGCTTACAGACGATGAAAAGTGAACACGCTCTAGTCTGTGCCGTCTGCAGGCCAGAACTGGACAGCGACACAGGAGATGCTCCATTGTCTCCGTCTCCTCCTCGTCATCATAGACTCTGCAGTAATCAGTAACATCATGGTCCCATTTACCGGTAAATGTCCTGATATTGCAATGACCATTAATGACTCCTGTCATTACTCTAATTTCAGCTTTGCTCAGGTTCACAGTGAGTTTGTTGACAGAATCGGCCAGATAGATCTTGACACATTGCACCTATGTTCGTTGTGCCAGAGTTCATTGGCTCGTTCGTCGATAGCTAGATCTGTAGATTGATATCCTCGTCTAGCTAATTCGTCAGCTTTTTCATTACCCATAAAGTCACGGTGTCCTGGTACCCAACACAGCCGATAGCTATGAGTGTGAGAGAACCCAAAATATCAAATTAGAACCTCATCGGTTCTATTGATCATTTTGGTGGGAGATTTGCCCAATGATAATCAAAGTTCAAGTTATATCCCATTCTGTTGAAAAGTGACTCAATTCCTCAAAATATCGAATGGGTTCAAATAATCGACCGATATATCCCATCTTCAGTAACAAACATCTTATGATAAGTGGCATATATTGCCACACAATTTCTGCGCTATATAATAAATACGTATTACAAAATTGGATATAGATTTTACTAGTCGGTCTTTCACGAGAGAGGATCTATATAGGTTATAGAGTCTCTGGGTGGAATAGTGCCAGGGCAAATTAAAATTGGATACTTTCGAATATAAGGATGCACAATAATAAATGATTAACAGGAAAATTGATTTTATAACCTTTGTGCAAAGGGGTTACACCAACTAATGATGAATTTATTATCATTACTTTTCTACTTGTTTGACCCCTTTGTTGGTTACCAGTTATTTAAAAAAAATCACAGTTTTCAGTTTACTTACATACATATTTTTCTATTCACAATTATTTACTTGATTGTTCTCATTGTCGGATATCCATTGAATTCACACATCCCATTTGGTCATTTCTTTATGGGTTTTATTTCGTGTAATAACAATTTAACATATTTAAATTAAAAACAAATTAATTTTTATTCTCTTCACTATCTGCGGGTGCTGTTGTTTTACTAGCATCGCCGCCATCAGAACTTTCACTCTTAGCATAAACATCTAAAATATTTACAAAATTCTTTTGGTGGGCCTCCAAATTTTGCACCAACGATGTACCGGCCATATTCAATGTTTGTACAAGTTCAGCTTGAGCCGATTTCAAACCTGGCAATTGAGCATATTGCATAAATTCATTACGGCTCAACAAAGTGTCATCGACAATACCGGCTATTAAAAGCATTTGTGGTATTTTACGTGTGATTTTCAACAATTGTGCCACCTTAGGTTCTGGCGAAAATACTAAACAGGTTTGGGCATCAAACAAAGGTAATATCGCCTCGAAACGATTTCCCTCCACTGCCTTACGGACAATTTTCTGGCCATACTGTTTCAATTGCATATTTTGTTTGTGCAACAAGACACGGGCATCAAAGTAATCATCCGATTTAATGGAGTTAATGTGGAATATGCCCACCATTTTGGAGTTACTCAGCCAATTGTAGACTTCACGAGCAATAATATCATTGTAGGGATTTTCTTGTACTGTTCGCGATTTCTTCTCAAAACAATTGGATACTTTAGGTGGTTCAGGATATTGAGGTGTTGTTACGGCTATTACTCGGGCTCGTTCATAGTGAGGTTGGCGTGGTCGTTGAATGTTGATTTTGGCCCGGAACCGTTGGAATTGCAGCAGAGGATTACTACGTTTCAGCTGATGGAAGAGTTCTGTTGTGGTGACGGTGGTGATGGACCGGCAATAACACAAAAAGAGATGTTATGGTTATACAACAAATGTTTGAGGAATGTGTTGAATTTCCATTTACTTACCAGGTTTGATTAGTTGAGACATGATGACTACGTTATGGTTTTAATGATGGGGCATTTAATTACAAAAGTTTCAATTAATTTAATTGATATTTTGCCTAAAAATTGTTTTAAAATAAACAAAATTTGCGAGAAAACCCCCAGCTCGTGTGCTGCTGCTCCAACGGAATCCAAATAATCGTTTGTACATTAATCGAGGTTATCGATAACGTAAATGTAATGCTGCCTGGCAACCCATCAAATTGATAACATTGGTGGAAGTTCACTGTTGTGAGGTTTATAGCAGATTTACATATTACATTTAAAAAATAAAAATAGTAAAAGCTTGTATATTCTTGCAATACCAAAAAACACAAATTGTGAACATGATTAATGTGACGTATGTCCTATTGAATAGACAATAGAAATTTGCAACTGTAGTTTAATTTTATATTCAATGGTTGCCAAATGCAAAAATGAAAGACGATAACGAAAATAAAAACTTATTTAGACCGTTCTAGAACCTGCAAGAAAATAAAATTTTTTATAACGATGACATTTTTTCGGAATAAAATAGTATATAGCATTGCAGGAACATTTCAATTGTTGCAATTTTTCTTTTCATTTTCTAATTCCAAACAAATATTTTTGGCACAAATTATA